GCTGGCTGGGGAATTCTGGGAGTTGAAGTCCACTCATCTTAAAGTGGCCAAGTTTGGAGAATACTGATGTGAAGACATGGCCATTCAAAGCATCAATCCTCACACCGCTTCCAGGGCTACTGGAACCCCCACTCTGGGGGCTCTGCTCAGTTCATGGTCATGGGAAATGCTGCCCTACCATCCAAGGAGTCAACAACATTCTATGCAACCTCCACAATCCAGTGACACTTCCATGTACTAACAACATGCCTAAAACCCACATTGTCATGGCCCATCCTCAAACAATCCACCAGTCTTGGCGTTATAACATTTTTTCCATGTAATATTCAATTTCTGAATCCTTTTAGAAAATTAAGTGTAAAGTGTTTAAACATTTGAAGCCAGTTTCCTTTCGAACAATGATTTGGCAAGTATGACTTTAAGTGCACATGTTTAGTGCTTCCAAAAAACTCAAAACTAAACTAACAACCCTTGTGTAGCGGTTTCATTTGCTTTGTTCTTTGAACCCTTGGAACACCTCAACATCCTTTTCCTGTATCTGACTGTGAAAGCAGCAAACGTTATATGAAAAGGGTTGGAGGACATTGCTGCTAACTCTACATTAGCAACAATATAGCAAAAGTTAAATATCAATGCACCTGGAAGAAACGAATGGAATGTGATTTGTGCTTTGCCTTTATGTATAAAATAGCTTGCCCACTTACCTGAGTTGTGAAGGCTAATTCCATATTAGTCCCGCAGCCATACATCTTGATACATCAGGTTTCAGCTGAATGAGAAAATTTGGTTTCAAAGAATATGCTATTAAAAAGAAATAATTTGTGACATATTTATCATTAAATAAATAATAGGGAAAGCATAATTATTTATGTATTCTACTCTACCCTGGCCAAATGAGGCAAGGAACATAGACAGAACTGCAAAGCTATAGGATGGATCTGCATGTCAATTGGCATTAGCTACTTACAGAAATCTGCAGGCAGACAATTCAAACAATGGAGAATTAACAAGGCAGGCTGATTTTATATCATGGTTTGATCGCCCTTTTAGTTTATACCTAGAATGAAAGTTACAGGAGCTACAATCAGCAATAAATAAACAGTACATTTACTTTTCACCCCACTTTACGTATTTTCATTGCACAATTTCTAATTTTATAATGTATCAAATTTGCTGGAGTTTATATGTATCATTTATACACATTCCACAAAATCATATACAGTATGTATCAGAGTAATAAAACCAGACTATTCCATACCATTTTCCAAATTATTCTAGTCCACCTTTCCTATTTGTTTTCTGGCCCCCACAGGCACTGAATATGTTCATTCCTCATTAAGCTATTTGGGTGGTAGGTTTCACCACGTACTCACCCGAATGGCATTTAATTCTCATCTGAGTTTAATTAACAAGGAATAGCAAGTTCCGCAGCATGAAGTTGATCTTTATCTGTTGACATGTTTAAAATTTGAGTGGACCTCGTGCTTATTGGTTATGGATAAGTGGATTCAAATCTTAGCCCTGTTTCCTAGCATTGCACAATCCCCCATATATTGGATAGAGGCCATTCTGAAGTCTTCCCAGTTCCTGCAAAGGAGGCTATCATATTCTGGACTTTTTTTTTTTTTTGATCTGCGCTCAGTCGTTACTGACTCTGC